AGGGGCGCTGAGGATGTGGCCTGGGAGCCAAGGGGGCGCTAAGGATATGGCCTGGGAGCCAAGGGGGCGCTGAGGATGTGGCCTGGGAGCCAAGGGGGCGCTAAGCATATGGCCTGGGAGCCAAGGGGGCGCTGAGGATGTGGCCTGGGAGCCAAGGGGGCGCTAAGGATGTGGCCTGGGAGCCAAGTGGGCGCTAAGGATGTGGCCTGGGAGCCAAGGGGGCGCTAAGGATGTGGCCTGGGAGCCAAGGGGCGCTAAGGATGTGGCTTGGGAGCCAAGGGGGCGCTAAGGATGTGGCTTGGGAACAAAGGGGGCTGCAGCCTGAAAAAAAATTGGGAACCACTGGCCTATAGGGATGGGGGGGGGGCGGGTTATTAAGTTTACGAAACTAAAACCAAAGCCCATTCAGTGTTCTATAAATCTATCCAACAAAATATCTATCCAACAAAAAATCTATCCAACAAAAACTCTATCCAACAAAAAATCTATCCAACAAAAAATCTATCCAACAAAAAATCTGTCCGACAAAAAAGTCTGTAACAAGTCTGGCAATTTTTCTTATTTCATTTGTTAGGTTTTAAATATTATCAAGTGTAAAAGAAAAAGATAAAACTTGCTTTTAATGTTCATTTTCCGACTTTTCAGGAAGATTAGGAACGTTTTAAGAACATAAGAAAGAAGGAACACTGCAACAGGCCTACTGACCCATGCGGACCAGGTCCATGTTCCCCCCACCCGGATTAGCCCAATGACCCACCCAGTCCGGTCACCTCCACTCAAGGATGGAGCACGGCACCAGACCCAGCAGCACAAGCTAGTCAGGTCCAACTCACACCCACCCACACTCACTCATGTATTTATCTAACCTATTTTTAAAACTACACAACGTTCTAGCCTCAATAACTGTACTCGGGAGTTTGTTCCACTCATCCACAACTCTATTACCAAACCAGTGCTTTCCTATGTCCTTCCTGAATCTAAATTTTTCTAACTTGAAATCATTGCTGCGAGACTTGTCTTGGCTGGAAAGTTTCAGCACGCTATTTACATCCCCTTTATTTATTCCTGTTCTCCATTTATACACCTCGATCATATCCCCCCTAATTCTACGCCTTTCGAGAGAGTGCAGATTCAGGGTCCTCAGTCTATCCTCATAGGGAAGATTTCTGATACATGGGATCATCTTTGCCATCCTCCTCTGTACGTTTTCCAGATCATTTATATCCATTCTGTAATACGGTGACCAGAACTGAGCAGCATAGTCTAAATGAGGCCTAACCAAGGATATATAGAGTTGAAGAACAACCTGAGGACTTCTATTATTTATACTTCTAGATATGAAGCCAAGAATTCTGTTAGCTTTATTGTGAACACTAATGCACTGTTGTCTTGATTTTAGATTACTGCTAACCAGAACTCCTAAATCCTTTTCGCAATCAGTAGTATTAAGATCTACATTATTTAGTTTATATGTGGCATGGTTATTTAACTGTCCAACATTTAGAACTTTGCATTTGTCAATATTAAACTGCATCTGCCACTTCTCCAACCATTGCATCAGTCTATTCAAATCATCCTGGAGTGTTCTAGTGTCCTCTTTAGAATGAATTGGACGGCCTATTTTGGTGTCATCAGCAAATTTGCTTATGTCGCTATTTATTCCCTCATGTATGCCGTTTATGTAAATTGTGAACAAAAACCGCCCAACACTGACCCCTGAGGAACACCGCTCGTGACGTGCCCCCATTCTGATTTCTCCCCATTTATGCAAACTCTCTGCTGCCTATTTGTCAGCCATGCCTCTACCCAGGAAAAAATTTCTCCTCCTATTCCTATTTCTGACGCAATGAATTTTTAACCACCATATACATATAAATAAAATGTAGATCTACATTCGCTCGTGTAGCGCTCAAAACATTTATCTATTTTTTTTTTCACATTTGAAAGCATGTAAAATAAAACTTAGATCTACGTTTGGAGCGCTACGCGAGTGAACGTAGATCTACATTTGGACAGTTTAAGGGTTAAAGATGCCTGAGTAATATTAAGAAACTCTGAAATCTGCAGCACATCATGCATGGTGTGAGGATGTGTTATTTGAGTGTACATGGTGTGCAGGTTATGCCTAGTAAATGTATTATCGTGTGTTAGTGATAACTGGCAGATGTAACAAGGTGTGTACAGTGTCTTTTAGGTACGTGGCAAGATGGCTCTTACTTCCTCTCATCAGTCCTTTCATATTTCCCCTTCATCTTGCCAAATACGCTCGTTATTCCCTACACATTTCCCTTCATTCTTTCCCTAAACACTCATTATTCCCTATACACTTTCCCTCCTGCCCTAGACACCCTCCAACTCTCCGTGTCGGAGACTTGCACAGATATTTCCCCAGAGTGAACACAAGCAGCGTCGGCAGTAACTCACCAGGGTGCTGCACCTCACCACCTACCCTCCACCCCTCCATTACCCCTCCATCTTCCACGTCTCTTATCTACTCCGCCTCCCCATCACCTTAATCACTTCTCCATTTTTCCCAAACCTTCCTTTCATCTTTCGCTACCTCTTTACCTCTCCTTCACCTGCCCACCCTTCTTCACCTACCCTTTACCCCCCACTTCCTCTCCACATTCCCCACCATAACCACACCTGGGTGAACAGGTAGAGTAGGTCCTTCCCCGCCGCCAGTTCTCTTGCCTCCTTCAACCACATCTAAACCCATCTCCCTCCTCCCTTTCCTCCATCTTTCCCTCTCTCTTTCTCTCCCTCTCTCCCTTACTTCCCTCTCTCCCTTCTCTCCCTCTCTCTCCCCTAAAGGATACCTGAAGAATTTTGGGGGATCAGTGCCCCCGTGGTCGGGTGGCAGATCAGGCCTCCTGGTGGGTCTAACGCCTGATCAACCAGGCTGTTACTCTCCGTCTATACCCCAACTCTTTCACACCATATTTTTTCCATCTGTCTCAGCTGCCCATTTCTCCAGTTCCCCTCCCCCACCTGCCTCATTTATTTCTTAGTTACCCCCACCTTCCTCCCCCCCCCGTCCTTACAGACTCCACCTCACGCCACTCCAGGAAGAATGATGGTACGAAAACTGCTGGTAAGTTATGGTCAGGTAGAGTGAGGTGGGGGAGGTAGGGTGGAGATGAGGCAGGTGAAGAGAGGGAGAGCAGGTAAGGGGAAAAACACAGGGCAAGTGTAAGCGAAGCTAGGGAAGCAAGTGACAGCTTAAGTAAAACTATTGTAAAGGATCGTGAAGAACAGTAATAATCGGTGCTGGCTCCAGCACCTTCGTGTGTTAGTGTGACTTGTAAATGGTCCAAGTCGGACAGAAACATTGTCATAAGCTTCTCTCTCCTATGTGCCGGTTGTGTTTAACATAAACAACTAGTAAAGGATCAGAAAGAACATTAATAAGCAGCAATGAATCAAGAACCACAGCTGTTGTGATTGTTCAATGATGAAATCTCATAAAAAAATCTTGAGTTTCTTTGCTGTAGGAGACACACACACACACACACACCAGCGAAAAGGCGGAACCAGGAGCTATGACCTGACCAAAATTGGAGAGTAGAAATAAGTATACACACACACACACATATCCAGCGAGCGGAATCTGAGGCGAAGACTGCTGTTTACCTCGCTGGTTCTTCGTAGTCCACAATACGTCGCTATGATCTTGGGATAGTGACTACTACAGACAAACCATACCACGGGCGGGGTTAAAACCCGCGATCAGAGAGTCTTTAAACTCCAGACCGTCGCGTTAGCCACTGGGCCGTGGTATGGTTTTTTTCCAATCGTGTCATTACGATTTCGTGAGTCATACTACAGACAAGCAGTAAGTTTTACAGAGTTCGACAGGGCGTCGTGGATGTTTAACCTCACTCTTTATCCCTAAGCTCACGTAATTTTTCTGTATCTTCTACTGAAGTGACTCTCATACTTGTTTTTGTTTGTCATCCGAAAAAAGATGATACGAAACTATGGTTAACCTTTTTATTTATGTATACTATGAAGGTTTGAGAAATAGAAAATGAATTAGGTCGGTACCCTGAGGTAGTGAACTTCTTACTTAGCTAAGACTTAATATTGTTTTGCTTGCTGTCACTTTTTTTATGAGCTATTATGCCAATGCTGAATTTGTTAAATGCCTTGGCAAGATCCGTGTTGATACAAATCAGAGTTTTGCTGCTCATGTTGACTTGGGTTGTGCAAACCATGTTATTCCATAAAATCGGCAAGTTGGCATCTCAACAACTTTTTAAAGGCGTGTGATGTTCGTGCAGCTGGTCTAAATTTTTTTTTCTTTTTTTTTTTGATGGTCTGCTATATCCTTTGTGAAGATCTATGTCAGCACCTCACGGATTCTTCTCCAAAAGAAAAAATACCGAGTACATGTGCTAACTGAATTACCTGTCTGAGACATAATGAAGTGAAATGGAGAAGGAAGTCCGAGAGCAAACACAGGTGGAAGACTGCTCACTTTAAAGTATGGGTAAGAGAGCTTTCTTTACAAGGTAAGGACTGGGAAGGAGGTGATCTGGAGTTCATCTGGAGTGAGTTCCGGGGGTCAACGCCCCCGCGGCCCGGTCTGTGACCAGGCCTCCTTAGGTCAGTGTCCCAGGATGCGACCCACACCAGTCGACTAACACCCAGGTACCCATTTTACTGATGGGGAACATAGACAACAGGTGGAAAGAAACACGTCCAATGTTTCTACTCTGGCTGGGAATCGAACCCAGGCCCTCATCGTGTGAAGCGAGAGCGTTAACCACCAGGCCACCAGAGTGAGGGAAGATACCTAGAGGGAAACTTAAATTAATGGGTATACGAGGGAAGAAAATTTTCAACAAAAAGGACGAGGGGAAAGTAAAAACTTCCCAGAAATTATAATTACATTTTTGTGTGAGAGTCATTCAGCGTGAGGAACATTGCAGGCTTGAGCCTCTGTCTGGTAATGGCGGGGCAGCCTCTAACACACCGTGAGGGAGGTGCGGACCTACCTGCGGCCCGAGCCTCCTTGCAGGCTTCATACATGTCCACCTTGATCTCCGGGTTGTCGTCAGCTATGGTCTCTCCCACGGTGACGAAGCGGTCCACAGCCACGTTCACAGCCTGCCCCACCCGGCAGAGGGCTCGCGCCGTTTTGTCGCATCCTGCCCCGCCCCGCTCCCCTGGGGACGTCACCAGCGTGCTGATCTGCGGGTGGGGAGAAAAAGTGTTAGTGGGGAGGATACATAATCCTATTATATTCATGGGGAGGTACTAAACACGTAGAGGTCATGCAGGGTATGCGGTATGGGAGGTAATTAAGAATGGCCCAAGGAAAAGGGTAGCTCCAGTTTCATGGACCAAGAGCCAGTCACCGGCATTAGAGTACTGATTTTCCTTGAAGATTCTGGGAAACTTTGAGAGAGAGAGAGAGAGAAAGAGAGAGAGAGAGAGAGAGAGAAAGAGAGAGAGAGAGAGAGAATGCGTGTGTGTATGTGTGTGTGGTGGTGTGTGTGGTATGTATGTGTGTGTGTGTACTCACTTAGTTGTGGTTGCCGGGGTCGATTCATAGTGTTGTGTGGTGTGTTGTGTGTGTGTGTGGTGTGGTGGTGTGTGTGTTGTGTGTATGTGTGTTGTGTGTGTGTGTGTGTGAGTGTGTGTTGGTGTGTGTGTGGTGTGGGTGTGTGTGTTAATGTACCATTTTGTCTTAGGCACATGTCGATTAGACACTAGGCCTGTTGTATATGCGTGGCGGGCGCGCGCGCGTGGGGTGGTGTTACTCACCTATTGAGGTTGCGGGGGTCGAGTCCGAGCTCCTGGCCCCGCCTCTTCACTGATTTGCTACTAGGTCACTCTCCCTGAGCCTTTAGCTTTATCATACCTCTGCTTAAAGCTATGTATGGATCCTGCCTCCACACATCGCTTCCCAAACTATTCCACTTACTGACTACTCTGTGGCTGAAGAAATACTTCCTAACATCCCTGTGATTCATCGTGTCTTCAGCTTCCAACTGTGCCCCCTTGGTTTTGTGTGTGTGTGTGTGTGATTTGTGTGTGTGCATGTGTTGTGCGTGTGTGTACCCCACCTAGTTGTCTCACCTAGTTGAGGTTGCGGGGGTCGAGTCCAGCTTCCTGGCCCCGGGGCCCCTTCACTGATCGCCCACTAGTCACCCTTCTGAACCGTGAGTTTTTTATCATACCCTGCTTAAGCTATGTATGATCCGCCTCCACTACTCGCTTCCCCAAAATATTCCAAATTTCTGACTACTCTGTGGCTGAAGAATACTTCCTAACATCCCTGTGATTCATCTTGTCTCAACTTCCAACTGTGTCCCCTTGTTACTGGGGTCCATCTCTGAAACATCCGTCTTTGTCCAACCTGTCAATTCCCTCAGTATTTTGAATGTCGTTATCATGTCCCCCTATTTTCTCCTGTCCTCCAGTGTCGTCAGGTTGATTTCCCTTAACCTCTCCTCGTAGGACATACCTCTTAGCTCTGGGACTAGTCTTTTTGCAAACCTTTGCACATTCTCTAGTTTCTTTACGTGCTTGGCTAGGTGTAGGTTCCAAACTGGTGCCACATACTCCAATATGGGGCCTAACGTACACGGTGTACAGGGTCCGAACGATTCCTTATTAAGATGTCGGAATGCTGTTCTGAGGTTTGCTAGGCGCCCATATGCTGCAGCAGTTATTTGGTTGATGTGCGCTTCAGGAGATGCGCCTGGTGTTATACTCACCCCAAGATCTTTTTCCCTGAGTGAGGTTTTAGTCTTGGCCCTCTAGACTGTACTCCGTCTGCGGTCTTCTTTGCCATTCCGCAATCTTCATGACTTTGCACTTGGTGGGATTGAACTCCAGGAGCCAATTGCTGGACCAGGTCTGCAGCCTGTCCAGATCCCTTTGTAGTTCTGCCTGGGCTTCGATCGAGTGAATTCTTTTCATCAACTTCACGTCATCTGCAAACAGGGGCACCTCAGCGTCTTTCCTTCCGTCATGTCGTTCACAATACCAGAAACAGCACTGGTCCTAGGACTGACCCCTGTGGACCCCGCTGGTCACAGTGCCCACCCCTGACAACCTCGCCACGTACCATGACTCGCTGCTGTCTTCCTGACATGTATTCCCTGATCCATTGTAGTGCCTTCCCTGTTATCCCTGCTTGGTCCTCCAGTTTTTGCACCAATCTCTTGTGTGGAACTGTGTCAAACGCCTTCTTGCAGTCCAAGAAAAATGCAATCCACCCCACCCTCTCTCTTGTCTTACTGCTGTCACCATGTCATAGAACTCCAGTAGGTTTGTGACACAGGATTTCCCGTCCCTGAAACCATGTTGGGTGCTGTTGATTTAATCATTCCTTTCTATGTGTTCCACCACTCTTCTCCTGATAATCTTCTCCATGATTTTGCATACTATACATGTCAGTGACACTGGGCTGTAGTTTAATGCTTCATGTCTGTCTCCTTTTTAAAGATTGGGACTACATTTGCTGTCTTCCATGCCTCAGGCAATCTCCCTGTTTCGATAGATGTATTGAATATTGTTGTTAGGGGTACACATAGCCCCCTCTGCTCCCTCTCTCAATACCCATGGGAGATGTTATCTGGCCCCATGCCTTTGAGGTATTCTAGCTCACTCAGAAGCCTCTTCACTTCTTCCTGGGTTTTGTGTGTGGGGTGTGTGTGTGTACTCACCTAGTTGTACTCACCTATTGGGTTGCAGGTGTCGGGTCCGAACTCCGGCCCCGCCTCTTCACTGATCGCTACTAGGTCACTCTCCTGAGCCGTGAGCTTTTTCATACCTCTGCTTAAAGCTATGTATGGATCCTGCCTCCACTACATCGCTTCCCAAATATTCCACTTACTGACTACTCTGTGGCTGAAGAAATACTTCCTAACTCCCTGTATTTTCCGTGTCTTCAACTTTCCCAAATGTGTCCCCCGTTACTGTGTCCAACTCGGAACATCCCGTCTTTGTCCCCTTTCAATTCCCTCAGCATTTTGTATTCGTTATCATGTCCCCCCATCTCTCGCCCCAGTGTTCAGGTTGATTTTCCCTAACCCCTCCCCGTAGGGCCCAAACCCCTTAGCTCTGGGGCTAGTCTTTTGCAAACCTTTGCACTTTCTCATTTCTTACGTGCTGGCTAGGTGTGGGTTTAAACTGGGGGCCCCATACTCCAAATGGGCCCAACGTACACGGTTACAGGGCCTGAATGATTCCTTATTAAAGATGTCGGAAGCGTTCTGAGGTTTGCAGCGCCAATGCTGCAGCAGTTATTTGGTTGATGTCCCACTTCAGGAGATGTGCCTATTGTTATACTCACCCCAAGATCTTTTTCCTTGAGTAGGTTTGTAGTCTCTGACCCCCTAGACGGGTCTCCGTCTGCGGTCTTCTTTGCCCTTCCCAATCTTCATGCTTTGAAATTTGGTGGGATTGAACTCCAGGCCAATTGCTGGACCAGGTCTGCAGCCTGTCCAGATCCCTTTGTAGTTCTGCCTGGTCTTCGATCGATTGAATTCTTCTCATCAACTTCACGTCATCTGCAAACAGGGACACCTCAGATCTATTCCCTCCGTCATGTCGTTCCAAATACCGAAACAGCACTGTCCTAGGACTGACCCCTGTGGGAACCCGCTGGTCACAGGTGCCCACTCTGACACCTCGCCACATACTCACCCCAAGATCTTCTTCCTTGAGTGAGGTTTGTAGTCTCTGACCCCCTAGACTGTACTCCGTCTGCGGTCTTCTTTGCCCTTCCACAATCTTCATGACTTTTGCACTTGGTGGGTTTGAACTCCAGGAGCCAAATTGCTGGACCAGGTCTGCAGCCTGTCCAGATCCCTTTGTAGTTCTGCCTGGTCTTCGATCGGTGAATTCTTCTCATCAACTTCAGTCATCTGCAAACAGGGACACCTCAGAGTCTATTCCTTCCGTCATGTCGTTCACAAATACCAGAAACAGCACTGGTCCTAGGACTGACCCCTGTGGGAACCCGCTGGTCACAGGTGCCCACTCTGACACCTCGCCACGTACCATGACTCGCTGCTGTCTTCCTGACAAGTATTCCCTGATCCATTGTAGTGCCTTCCCTGTTATCCCTGCTTGGTCCTCCAGTTTTTGCACCAATCTCTTGTGTGGAACTGTGTCAAACGCCTTCTTGCAGTCCAAGAAAATGCAATCCACCACACCCCTCTCTCTCTTGTCTTACTGCTGTCACCATGTCGTAGAACTCCAGTAGGTTTGTGACACAGGATTTCCCGTCCCTGAAACCATGTTGGCTGCTGTTGATGAGATCGTTCCTTTCTAGGTGTTCCACCACGTGCGTGCGTGCGTGCGTGCGTGCGTGCGTGCGTGTGTGTTGTGTGTGCGTGCGTGTGTGTGTGTGTGTGTGTGTGTGTGCGTGTGTGCGTGCGTCGTGTGTTATCTCACCTATTTGTACTCACCTATTTGTGGTTGCAGGGTTCGATTCATAGCTCCGGCCCCGCCTCTTCAACTGATTGCTACTAGGTCCTCTCTCTCCCTGCTCCCATGAGCTTTATCATCCTCGCCTTAAAACTATGTATGGCCTATCTGCCTCCACTACTTCACTTTCTAGGCTATTCCACGGTTTGACTTACTCTTATGACTGAGAACTACTTCCTAATATCCCTTTGATTCATCTGACTCTCCAACCTTCCAATGTGACCTCTTGTTCTGTGGTCCATCTCTGAACATCCCGGTCTTTGTTCCACACTCGTCTCTTCCGCGCAGTATTTTATATGTCGTTATCATGAAATCTCCTAGCATCCTGACACTCTCCTAGCCTCCAAGTGTCGTCAGGCCGATTTCCCTCAACACTTCTTCGTAGGACAATTCCCCTGCTCTGGCACTATCTTGTATGTCAAGCTATGCACTTTCCCTCCTAATTTCTTCGCTGTGCTAGTGTCGTAGGTTTGGATTTCCAAACTGGTGCTGCATACTCCAGTATGGGCTGCATGTAATGGAACAATCTTGACGCACCTTCCTAGTTATCACGCTATCTAGGTTGGCTCCAGCGGCCGCTATCAAATGCCACGTCACGTTACATCCTGATGATTCCTCTCTAAGATGTCGGTGGCTTACTACTCACCCCCAACTATTCCTTGCAGTGAGGTTATGCAGTTGATGTGGCTTCAGGGATGTGCTTGTGAACTCACCCAGATCTTTTTCCTGAGTGAGGTGTGTGTGTG